CTAGAAGACAATGAAAGGAAACCATAAAAAAATTTAATCTGGAAATGGGGATATGAACCAAAAAAATGGGTAAAATTGGAATTAAAAAAAAGACAATTGGAATGAAATGACATGAATTCTGCTGATTTCTTTTTGTATCTTCAACCTTAAGCCTCTCCATTTACTATACAACAGGTTTAACGGCATTTGCAGCGGAATGTGTACAATTTTTTGGAGTATGACAATCTTTGAAAGAGTAGTTTTGTTTTGGTTTTATTAAATAGTTTTGAGATCCAAAATGAAATCCTCCAGATCCGATGTAAGAAAATTATTTTCAATAAACAATATTTGAGTACTGACTGTTAAAAATAAAAACGAAATTAAAATCAGGAGATTGGAGGGATAACCGATAGATATTAACCCCTACCAGGTGGTAAGGAGTTGTTGAAAAAATATTCAAAAAATAAACTCTTAAAGTCGAGCGTCTGACTTTGTATTTTTAGTAGAGTTTCACATATCAAAAAAAAAAAAAATATATTATGATTATAATTATAATTTAAAGTCCAAAGGAACTAATATATGAGAGGAATATCCTCCTCTGAATCGATTTCTTTTAAATTTCCCGAGGCATTTGTGTCTTTTCAATTCGGGCTTATATAACCCATTTGGTGCACAATTAAATTGAAATAAATTTTGCAAAGGTATTTCTGAGCTGCATTTTATATATTTCTCTGAATATCCCTGTTAAGGAATGCATATTACGGCTGTGGGCAACAAATATAAAAAATCGGATGAACAATATATATGGGAGCATTAGCCACATCTGAACCTATTTCCACTAAATTTGACATATTTCTTTCAAGGTTCTATTTGGCCGTAAGTGCCAAATTCCATCCCTTTTGGACAAATATTACACGTTTGGTGCACAATAAAAGGCAAATCGGACGAAGATATATATGAGAGCTATATCCAAATTTGAACCAATTTCGAATAATTTTGGGAAATGTATTTCTGAACTGTATTTGATATATTTCCCCGAATATCGTTGTTAAAATAAAATCGGACGAATATATAGGGTGAGATGAAAAAACAGCAACCAACTTCAGAATGGTGACAGTTCTAAGCCACTTGTCTGACAGCTGTTAAAATTATTCCAGCGACAGCTCATTCCATTGTTTACAAGCGTACAAAAGCATTTTGCTGAGAATTTTCCAGAAAAAAAGTTATTTGTGATGGAATGCAAGCGTGATAGTGTGATTTTATTATATTTGGCTGGAAAACCACAAGTGGCTATCGTTAGAGCACTCCAGCATTTAAATCTGAATAATTCTTTTGTGTCTCGTACCATCGCTCGTTTCCGTGTTACTGGTAGCTTAGCCCGACGTCAAGAAAGTGGACGGAAGAAAACAGCAACATCAGCAGAAATGGATCGAAAAGTAAAGAAGCGACTTGATCGAAATTCGCATCGCAGTGGCCGAAAAATGGCTCGTGAGCTGAACATATCGCAATATTCCATTCGGCAAATATTAAAAAATTAGCCACTGAAATTCCAAAAAGTGCAAGAACTTACACCGCAGCGAAAAGAAAATAGACTCAAAAGAGCTAAAGTGTTGCTTCACTTGGCCGAAAGTGATGAACTGCCGAATTTGGCTTTCTCCGATGAGAAAACATTCGTTGTCCAGCAGTTTGTAAACAAAGAAAAATGATCGTGTTTACTTGCCAAAGAGGTCAGCTGAAAATATGCACCTTCGGTTGGCCACCAGAACTCAAGCGCCGGCCATGGTGATGATGTGGCCCGCCATAACAGCCGATGGTCGCTCTCCGCTCGTATAAATCGACCGTGGCATTAGAATAAATGCCGAATGTTATCGCCTTGGACACGCAAACATTTTGGCTGCAGACCTTGAACATTCCAACAGGACTTAGCACCATCGCACTTAGAAAGCGCCACCCAAGTTACAAAATGAGGTTACAAAATGAGATTTCTAGCTTCATTTCCAGCGCACATTGGACACTAACATCTCCGGATACCAATCCGTTGGACTATTGTGTCTGGAGTATTTTGGAAAGCAAGGTTGGCACTAAAAAATACAAAAGTGTCGATCATCTCAAACAAGCGCTTCGCCGGGAATGGGTCAAAATACCGCAGAGAAACATTCGGTCAGCGTGTGACGGTTTTATTGGCCGTTTGAAGGCCATAATTCGTGCCAAAGGTGACTAATTCGAACAAGTCTAAACTTATTGTAATATTTGAAGCTATTTCCGACATTTTTCGCTTTTATTCAATAAAATTAAAAAATTTAAAAATTATGCGTTTGACTTTGTTGCAGATTTTTTATTTATCCCTGTATAACGGTGAACCCCTCTTTGTACCTCACCACAAAGGGTCACAATTTTCAATACTTTTGTCTGTCATAACTTGCGAAACAAGGCAGCGATTCTTTACAACTTGCTATATCTAAACATTTCTCTCAACCAGATACCTGAGATGAATATTGAATTTATGATCTCGAATAAATTTGGATAAAAATGTTCGATTTTCCTATAATTTTGACCATACCAATATTTTTATCTGAATTAGATGAAGGAAATATGACAATGGAATACTTCGGTCGACAATATCTTTATCACATATCTCATATAAAGTGAAGGAATTAACCAAAATACTCCGAACCTGGGATGCTGCAATACTTTTATCATATTTATTTAGGTCTGATACAAAATGGACAATATTGGCCCATTCCCTCGGAACATATTCCATAGAGGGTCAACGATTTGAATTATCATAACAAAAGTCAAAATATATTTAAATAATCGAACATTGGCTGAGGATATACATCTGTCGGCAAGAACGAGAGAGACTTTTTAACTGGCTTTTATACCCTACAACACTATGTGTTGAGGGCATTATAAGTTTAATTGGGCCAAAAATTATGTAACACCACGAAATATTCGTTTCCCACATAGGAAAGTATGTATGGATCTCCCTATCTCGCGGAGCTGAGTCGATGTAGCTATGTATGTCCGTCCGTCCGTCCGTCTGTCCATATGTCCATGTTAATTTCTAATCACTCTACAGGTCGCAATTATGGCCCGATCTTCACGAAATTTAGAATGGAGGTGGAGCTAGGGTCAGAATATAACCCTATTTCTTTTGGAGATGATCGCATAATATTTAGGGGTTGAAATGGTCCAAAAACTGCAGTTGCAGTTGCTCTACAGGTCGCAATTATAGACCAACCAAAACGGAAGTTAGCATGGGGCTAAGCCAATTTTGATGGTCATCGAGTAATATTTAGTGGGTGAAATAGGCCACAACATTTGTGTTAAATAAAAGTCAAATTTTCCATTAAACCGCGAATATTTTTAATCCCGGCGAAATCCCAAATAGACGATCAGGTCAATTCTGACCGTTACGTGGATGCCGATAGTAAATATATCGGATATATATAGCGAAATATATACAATGTTATATACAATGGAAGGGGATGTTATGACCGACTTATGACTGGACCGATTTGGACAAATTTTGTCAATTCAGAATGCCCTCTTGACATAAAGCAATAAAATCTAAAAATCGCATAAAAAAAGGTATCAATAATGATGTTAGTATAGATTTTGTAGTATTTTGTGACATTTTTTTAATTTTTCATATTTTTTATCGCATGCGATTTTTTTTCAATTTGACTTATAATATTTTGTAATATTTTTTTCACCTTACAACACAGGTTGGAGATATTATATAAGTATTTCAAATATCGTCCGAACCTCACGAAAATTTCGCGTCAGTCCAAGCAGATTTTTACCATGAACCAATACACGACAAGCGAGCGCTCTGAAATAGTTGAAATTTACAAGAAGTCAATTGTGAAAACTCGACGTGCTTTTAAAACATTAAAAAATGTGAGAAGTACGTCTTCTAAGAACATCATTTTCGACTGGTAAGGCTCTTTCTAATCCGAAGAGGCCATATAAAAGCCGACCAAGGCGATCGGCCGAGAATATCGCTGCCGTATGAGCCAGTGTTGAGAGGTCCCCAAGAACATCCCAAAAACGCCGTTCTCAGCAGTTGGGCATGGCTCGGTCCACTTTACAACGGATTATTCGCATTGATTTGCATTTGTTCCCGAATGGGCCCAAAGGTCCGTCGAATATGGGCAACCCTGTATTAGGTGTTGAAATGGACCAAAAACTAAAAATGTTCCTGATTTTGTAGCCGTTATAAATGTCACAAATAGAAACCAAAGGACACGAAATCTAGAATAAAGTTAGAGTTTAGGACAGCGGGTACAATAGACCACTAATTTTGTGTGAAAAAATACCAGCATTACTTACAGGCGATATCCGAAATACACAAAAGGCGAACTTCTGGATGATTTCGTTGACGAATATAGCCAAATATCGTAGGCAACCAAATCATACAGATGAGTCTAAATTTGGAGGTACGGAGGGCCCTTTTGCTTTTGGAGATGATTGCAAAATATTTAGGGGTTCAAATTAATCAAAAAAAAACAGAAATGTTTTTCCGATCACACAATTGAAGCCAATCGACACGCCTGTGAAGAGAGTTAAGGACAGGGAAGAATTCTAGCATTTTGGATGACCATTGGATTATATTTAGCTGTAAAATGAACTACAACAACTAACAGCCCGACGGAGTGCATAAATGTCGGGCAAATGTCCCTAGTCAAAATACTAATTTCAAAAGCGAAATCTTTCAATATGGATTTGGACATCAAGGGGCTTCTAACATATTGTAGTGTTGTAGGGTATAACATAGTCGGCCCCGCACGACTGTACTTTTGCTTGTGCTTACTTGTTTTTTTTTTTTTCAATTTTTTTAGGAATTATTTTCAATAATTTCTGTCAGTGTAAAACGCAAGAGAAACCGAAATAAATTGTGTTTACGTTCTACGAGCATTTAAACCCATAAAACAAGTTCGATTGAAATTGTCGCGACTTATCAATATTTGTCAAAATACGATGCTCGTGCCGAATATAAAAATGCTGCAGAGAATCAAAAATTATTTATTACCATTGGAATTGCGAAAGTAAACATTACGTTCTTCCCAGAGAGATGTTGGAATTTCAAAGAGGCCTCGTTCAAATACTACTTTTAATCGGTTTTCTTTGGTTAAACTTAAACAAAATTCAAGCTGAGGAAACAAAATCGATAAAATGTGGTCAGCGAAATACCCAAGGAATTCCAACAGCTTCCAACTCAGATATACCTACACCCCTTGGTGAAAGTAAATTTGGAGAATTTCCCTGGACCATTGACATTGCCCAAGGGCCGAGGGTGTTTTGTGCCGGCTCCCTGATACATCCCAAAGTAGTGCTGACAGCCGGTCAATGTTTGCTGCGGCAAAATGATAACGAATTAAAATTACGTGCCGGTGTGTGGGATCGTGCGGCGAACAATGAACGCTACCCTTATCAGGAGAGATCAATCGCAAAGGCCATCATACATCCCGAGATGGCAGCACGACGCAATGACCTAGCTTTGGTGATTGTCAATGAACCGTTCATCTTGGCCGATCACATTGGTACCGTGTGCTTGCCTCCCGCAAACTATGCCACGCCAAATGGTACAATTTGCTACGCAACTGGATGGGGAAGGAGGTCATTGTTTGGTGATTTAAGTCAACGTATGAAACTCGTGACTTTGTCGAGTTTGGAGGGGGAGCTTTGTGAACGAGAAATTCAAACGAAGTTGGAAAGTTCGGTGATGTGTGCCGTGGGACAAAATGGTAACGATACCTGTGCCGGTGATTCGGGTGGACCGTTAGTGAGTCGCATCGAAGCAGAGGGGAAAGTTTATCATCAAATTGGTATAACTTCATTTGGTGCTGCATGTTTTGCTGGCATCCCGGGTGGTTACACCAATGTTGCCCATCTTCGTGAATGGATCGATTCGCAAATGAGGGAGAATGGTTTGGAAACGGCAACATATATACATTAGTAAAATAATTGTTATTCCGAAAGTTTCAATTACTGTTGCATTTAATAAAGTGTCGTGTGCATTAAAATGCGAATTTGTGTTAATATTTCGAAACCTTCATTTATGTGGAAGTTTGTATGTCTCTTAGGTTTGTAAGTAGTTCGTCAGTCTAGAAAAATCACTCTTGCTTCCGAACGGCATGAGTTAACTTCGAAAAAATTTAGTCAAATGTATTTTAGGTCCGAAAGGACGGTCGATCTAGCGATGTCCGTCCATCCATCTATCCGTCTGAGTGTTTGGCTGGTGCTCATGATAACTCTCGAAGGGAGTATCCAAAACTTGGAACAACGTAATATAATTATCAAAGTTATATCGAGTTCGGAGGTGGGTCCACCTTTTTTGGTAGGCCCACAAAAGTTCGAAAATTTCAAAAAAAAATATTTTACTGCACAGAAAGGGCGCTAATTTTGGAAAACCACTCAGTCAAATATCTCTCCCACAAAGGATCAAAATTTTTAATAATTAAAACTCTTATAAAATGTGAAATAGGAGTCCAATTCTCTTCTTTTGTCTTTTAGATATTATTCAAGATTTTCCCTTTTTCCGAAAGAATATTAGTAAAATGTTGCCCATTTACACCAAAATGTCTTCAAAATCTTTAATTTTGGAATTTTCCGAGGAGGATATAAGTAAAACTATTTCACAATGGGCCCACACACCAAAAGAGACCTTAATATCAAATTTCAGCTCTTCAGTTTTCCGCATTACCACATTTAGTACAATTATAGTACGCATATCCAAAACCAGATCCTTCTCTCAACCGCAGATACCAACATACCAAGTGACATCTATATGAAATTTCGAATTTCAGCTTTATCCCTTCACCCAATACCCAATTTTGTACCATTTAATGATTTTCGTACAAATATAGGACGCACTTCTAAACCACCTCCATATCTAAATTGCAGATGCCAACTGAGACCTCTATATCAAATTTGAGGATTCTTTACCCAAAACAAAAAGGAGTACCTTTTAGTACTTTTCGTACAATTATAGTACACATTTCCGAAACCACCTCCATATGTCTAAATGTCAGGATTACAACCCTATCCCTAACCCTTTACCAAAGATCAAATTTAGTAACATTTTGTACTTTTCGTACAAATATAGGGCGTATTTCCAAACCACCTCCATTTCTCAATTCCAGATAAAAGCATATACCTCCTCTATATCACATGTCGGAATTCCAGCTCTATCCCTTCACCCAAGACCCAATTTGGTTCCACTTTGTACTTATCGAACAATTATAGCACATATTTCCACAGCCACGTCCATATCTTAACCACATACACCAGCAGAGACCTCAATATCAGATTTCGGGATTCCAGCTCTGCCCCTTCACCAAATATCAAATTTAGTACCATTTAGAATGTATACCGGACGCATTTTCCCGACCACCTCCATATCTCAATTGCATATGCCAACTGAGACTTCTATATCAAATTTGAGAATTCATTTGAGGATTATAGTTCACATTTCCGAAACCACCTCCATATGTCTAAAATTCAGGATTACAGCCTTATCCTTTACCAAATAATAAATTTAGTAACATTTTGTACTTTTCGTATAAATATAGGACGTATTTCCCAACCACCTTCATTTCTCAATCCCAGATAAAAGCATATCAAATTTAAGAATTCCAGCTCTATCCCTTCACCCAATACCCAATTGGGTACCAATTTGTACTTATCGAACAATTATAGCACATATTTCCAAAATCATCTCCATATCTTAACCACATACACCAGCAGATAACTCAATATAAGATTTTGGGATTGCAGCTCTACCCATTCACCAAATATCAAATTTAGTACCATTTAGGACTTTAGTACATATATAGGACGCATTTTCCCCACCACCTCCATTTATCAATTCCAGATACCAATAGAGACCTCTATATCAAATTTGAGGATTCCAACCCTATTCATTTGCCCAATACCAAATTTAGTACCATGCAGTACTTTTCGTACAAATATAGGACGTATTTCCAAATCACCACCACCAAATCTCAAACACAGATCCTATCGGTAAACTAAGAATCAAAATTTCAAAATATTACCTCTATCCCTTACAATTCTATTAGTACCATTTAGTTCTTATTTGTTTGGCCCAAGGACGAACCCTATTAAAATTGGTGAGAATCGCTCCCATATATATCTTCAACCGATTTCGGGTTAATTGTGCACGAAATGGTCAATATCAATCCAAATGACATACATTTCGACACATCCGGCCGAATTCCGTCTAGAAACAAGTTAATAAAATGTGGTAAAAATCGGTGCTGATATATCTTTAGCTCACATTTTTGTTTCATCCGATTTGGGGTTTTAGGTCCCTCACATGCGTAATATGCACTTCACAAGAATGATATTTGGTACCAGATAACAGATACAGCCCAGAAATACCTCTGCCAAATTTTATCAACATCGGTTCAGATTTGTATATAGCTCTCATATATATCTTCAATCGATTTCGGGTTAATTGTGCACTAAATGGCCAATGTCAGTACAAATGACCTGAATTTTGGTACATCCGACCGAACTTATTTTAGAAGCAAGCACATCAATCGGTGAAAATCGGTTCAGATATAGCTTTAGATTTGGGATTTTAATTCCCTCAATTTCGTAATATCCACTCCACAAGAATGATACTTGGTACCAGATATCTTATAGAGCTCGGGAATACATTTTCCAAATTTTATCGAGATCGGTTAAGGTTTGGATATAGCTTCCATCCCTATATCCCTAATCCAATTTCAGGCTTATCGTGTAAATAATAGTTAATATAAGCTCAAATGGAGTGAATCTTGGGACTTATATGTCCATTTGGTGGAACTCGGCGCTGATTTTTTTGTTTGATTTTATACCCTACACCACATAGTAGTAAGGGTATTATGTCTTTGTGCATTTGTTTGTAACATGGAGAAGGAATCGAGATAGGCCCATAGTTACTTTTGAGGATCTCCATAGAATCACTTTCTGAGTTGATTTATGCGTGTCAGTCCGTCCGTCGGTCTGTCCATGTATTCTTGTGAACAAAATGCAGGTCGCATTTATTATCCGATTGAGATGAAATGTTCCAAACAACATCTGTTTGACCCAAGGGCGAATCCTATTGAAATTGGAGATAATCGGTAAAAAATTAGATATAGCTCCCATATATATCTTCGTCCGATTTGCCTTTTATTGTGCACCAAACGTGTAATATCAGCTAGAATAGTATGGAATGTTGCACATACAACCAAATTAGGCCTGAAAATAATTTGATCGAAATCGGTTCAGATATATCTCCCATATATATTGTTCATCCGATTTGTTATTTTTGTCCTCCGCAGCCGTAATATGCACTCTGTAACAACAATATTTGGGGTAATATATCAAATACAGCTCAGAAATACATTTGCTAAATTTTATCGATTAAATTTTTTATCAGATTTGGATATAGCTCCCATATATAACTTCGTCCGATTTACCAAATGGGATGGAATTTGGCACATGCGACCGAATTGAGTCTAGAAGCTAGTATGCCAAATTTGGTGAAGATCGGTTCAGATATAGCTATAGCTCCCATATATATTGTTCATCCTATTTGTTGTATTTGTTACCCACAGCCCTAATATGCACTCCGAAACAACGATATTCAGGGAAATATATCAAATATAGCTCAGAAATATCTTTGCCAAATTTTATCGAGATCGGTTCAGATTTGGATATAGCTCACATATATTTTTTATATGATTTCAAATTAATTTTGCACCTAATGAGCAATACAAGTCCGAATTTAAAAGATGCAAATGCTTCGGCATATTTAGTCCTTTGAACTTTAAATTACAATTATAGTCATAGCGTGTATGATTATAGTCTCCCATAAAATATTTTAAATGTTATGTGGAGCTCTATAAAATTAGAAAAGTGGTGTAGGGTATCACATGGTCGGCCCCGCACGACTATAGCCTTTGCTTACTTGTTTTCAAATATAATCCGTCTCAAAGTGCTATCATGCACCCTATAGCAATGTTATTTCGTATAAAAGATAAAAATGCCTCCGTCAAATTTAGTGAAAATCGATTCAGAATTGGATAGGCCTCCCATATATTAGTTCCCACTGAAACCAATTTATAACTGCCCTAAAGCCAAATGTTGATAGGTGGTGTGATCTACTTCTAATAAATTATTTTGTTACGAGAGCTCTACTAAATGTGCATAGTGGTGTAGGGTATCATATAGTCGGCCCCGCCCGACATTTGACTTTTCCTTAGTGGTTTATATGTAAATTTGTCTGATAATTTTTGCAACAAGAATCATTTATTGAAAAATCTAAATAAAATTTTAAAACCAAAGAAATCCTACAATTTTAATTATTCCTCAAAAAAATTGTTTTACAAGTTGCCTACCTCTTTGCGATCGGAATATTCCTCTCGAAACACCATATATTTCCCTTAAAATCTACTTGCATCCCAATTACTACATTCGTTTGCCATTACCGTTGGCTTGATAATCTTAGATTATATTGGAAACTCTCAGACATAATACCATTGTATGGAGCTCTGTCGACCTTTTGTGTTATCAGCTTCTGCCGTGTATTACAATTATGAAAAACCCCCTGCTGCATCGATGACACATGCCCTTGATATTCAGTTCGAGTCTGATTTCAGGTATTTTGGAGTCAGTCGATGATCACAAGAGGTAGGATAGGAAAAAACGTGAAAAAATGTGTCACTCACAAAAATTGGTTTTAGATATAGGTCTACGTTTGTACGATACTCATTTCGAAACATTCGAGGTTCTCTCATTTATTTGGTCTCATAGATTGTTCTTTTAAGTTCATATCTGGAATCTTTGGATTTCTGTTGACAAAGGAGCAAAGAGCTTTATTTCTATCTATTGTCCTTACAAATTATCTCTACTCTCTCCCTCTCAAACCATAGGGCTAACACATTATTAAAAATTATTCTTGCAAATATTAGTAATCGACTTAAATCAATATTATTGTTTACAAAAATACAATAAAATGTTTTAAAAATCCCAAATATATGTGTTTTGTTTGTGTTCGACAAGTATATAAACAAGTAAAAAAGCAAAAAGTTCGGCCGGGCCGAACTTTGAATACTCTCTACCATTTGGAACAAATTTGGAAATTGAAGAAGAAAAAAATGAAAAATAAAAATAAAATCCGCTAAAATTTCTGTTAAAATCTTAAAAATACCGAAAACAGGGTGAGATGAAAAAACCAGCAACCAACTTCAGACTGCTGTCATTTCTAAGCCACTCATCCGACAGCTGTTAAAATTATTCCAGTGACAGCTCATTATATTGTTTACAAGCGTACAAAAGCATTTCGGTGAGAATTTTCCAGAAAAAAAGTTATTCGTGAAGGAATTTAAGCGTGATAATGTGATTTCTTTATATTTAGCTGGAAAACCACAAGTGGCTATCGTTAGGGCACCCCAGCATTTAAATGTGAATAAATCTTTTGTGTCTCATACCATCGCTCGTTACCGTGATACTGGTAGCATAGTCCGACGTCAAGGAAGTGGACGGAAGACGTAAGAAAACAGCAACATCAGCAGAAATGGTTCAAAAAGTAAAGAAGCGACTTGATCGAAACCCGCGCCGCAGTGGGCGAAAAATTAATCGTGAGCTGAACATATCACAATATTCCATTCGGCAAATATTGGGAAATGAGCTAGGGACAAAGCCATTGAAATTCCAAAAAGTGCAAGATCTTACACCCCAAAAGAAAGAAAATAGACTCAAAAGATCTAAAGAGTTGCTTCGCTTTGCCGATAGTTGTGAACTGCCGAATTTGGTTTTCTCCGATGAGAAAACATTCGTTGTCCAGCTGTTTGTAATCAAACAAAATGATCGTGTTTACTTGCCAAAGAGGTCAGCTGAAAATGTGCACCTTCGGTTGGCCACCAGAACTCAAGCGCCAGCCATGGTGATGGTGTGGGCCGTCATAAAAGCCGATGGTCGCTCTACGCTCGTATTAATCGACCGTGGCATCAGAATAAATGCCGAATATTACCGCGAAAATATTTTGAAGGGTGTATTAAAGCCTTGGGCACGCAAACACTTTGGCCGCAGACCTTGGACATTCCAACAGGACTCGGCACAATCGCACTCAGTACGCGCCACCCAAGAATGGTTACAAAATGAGGTTCCTCGCTTCATTTCCAGCGCACAATGGCCACCAAAATCTCCGGATACCAATCCGTTGCACTATTGTGTCTGAAGTATTTTAGAAAGCAAGTTTGGCACTAAAAAATACCAAAGTGTCGATCACCTCAAGCAAGCACTTCGCCGGGAATGGACCAAAATACCGCAGAGCAACATTTGGGCAGTGTGAGACTGTTTCATTGGCCGTCTGAAGGTCATAATTCGTGCCAAAGGTGACCAATTCGAACAAATCTAAACTTATCCTAAAATTAGATGCTATTTCCGAAATTTTTTGCTTTTATTCAATAAAATTTAGGAAAAAGTGTAAAAATTATGGCATTTTGACTTTGTTGCAGTTTTTTATTTCACCCTGTAAAGCCATTATATTGGGGTCTATACGAAGATGTGGGCCAGCATAGGAAACTTTTGTCATAAGTCATTAAAATTTTCAAATGCGAAACTTGAAAAGATTGCGGTGAATAATGTAGCTAAAATCATCAAAATACCGTATATCGGGAGGTGCCGTAATATCGGGGCTATACGAAGACCAGGACCAGCAGAGACAATTTTCTTTAACACGGGCTGTAGTACCTATTAGGAATTGCAAATATGACATTTGAAACAATTACGATGAATAATGTAGCTAAAATCATCAAAATACCGAGTATGGGGAGGTACCGTTATATCGAGGCTACAGGAAGACATGAACCTGCATAGACATTTTTTTCTGCCACAGGTTTAAGTAGCTATTAGGCAACATTTGTCATAAGCCATTACAATATTGAAATACGAAATTTCAATAAATTTCGGAGAATATTGTACCTAAGATCGCCAAAATACCGAATATACGTGGGTACTGAAATATGGAGCCTATACAAAGATCTGGACCTGCATAGACAATTTTCTGGCTTAGATCGTAGTTCCCATAAGAACCCTAAATACGAAATTTTAAATAACTCCGGTAAATAAAGTACCGTTATATGGAAGCTATACGAAGACGTGGGCCTGCATACGCAATTTTCTGGTATAGATTGTAGTTCCCATTAAAAACTCTCAATACAAAATTTCAAACCACTGCGGTGAATAAAGTCGCTAAAATCATCCAAATACCGAATATAAGGAGGTGCCGTTATATGGGGGATATACGATATCGTAGACCTATATTGACAATACTCTTCCAAACAACTCAAAAGGAACTCCTTTTCTGGATTTTCAGACAATTTCATTGAAAAGTTTGGCTACAATCACCAAAATACCGAATACCGGGCGGTATCGTTATATAAAGGCTATACGATATCGTGGACCGATATAGCCCATCTTCGAACTTTTAGCTTCCTGTATTTATTCGTTTTGACTCTAGCCCGATTATAACTGACGAAAAAACGAACGGACAGGGTAAATCGTTTTAGAATTTTACGCCGATTAGAATTAATCGGATGAGTTACAAACGGAATGACGATTTAATATACCCTCCATACTATGTATGGCGGATGCTGGAAATTCTATGGCCTTATCAGTTTTAATCAAAACACAATGCATTTCAATAAAAACTGGAAAAGTAAACATTACATTCTTCCAAGATGGCGGGATTGGAATTTGAAAGACCCTTCGTTAAATTTTTCCTCGTAATGGGATTTATTTGCTTCAACTTGACCATAATTAAGGCAGAGGAAACGAAAACAATAAAATGTGGTCAACGAAACCCGCAAGGAATTCCAACGGCTGCAGCCTCTACTCCCAGCATTGGTGAAAGTAAATTTGGAGAATTTCCCTGGACCATTGACATTGCAAATGAGGGACGAGTATTTTGTGTCGGTTCCCTGATACATCCCCGCGTAGTATTGACGGCTGGCCAATGTGTGGCCTTACCAGAGGATATACCCAATTTAAAATTACGTGCTGGCCTGTGGGATCGTGAATCGAATCCGGAACACTACCCTTATCAGGAGAGATCAATTGAAAAGATTATTTTACATGACGATCTTGGACGTTCTCGCCGAAGACGTAGAAATGACATTGCATTGGTTATTGTCAATGCCCCATTTGTCTTGGCGGATCATATCAAAACCGTGTGTCTACCTCCAGCCAACTATGCCGCGCCAAATGGTACCGCTTGCTATGCCACCGGTTGGGGAAAACAATCGCTGAGAGGTGATCACAGCCAGCGTATGAAACTTGTGCCATTGACTCGCATCGAAGATGGGATTTGTGAACGAGAAATGGAAATTCAATTACATAGTTCAGTGATGTGTGCCGTGGGCCAGAATGGTAGCGATACCTGTTCCGGTGATTCAGGTGGGCCACTGGTGAGTCGCATCATCGCTGACCAGGAATTTTATCACCAGATTGGCATAACATCATTTGGCATTTCATGTTTTGATGGTAGCCCTGGGGGTTATACCAATGTGGGGCACCTTCGTGAATGGATCGACGAGCAGATGAAGGAGAATGATTTGGAAACGTCGACATACATTCATGAGTAAAATATAATAGTATCTACTTTTTAAAGCAATATAAAAAGTTTCTTAAATTGCTAACTTTGTTTTTTATTGGAAAAATGTAAGGGTTTGGGAGGTGGTACCATGATTTCGGAAAAAACAGCATTTGTTTTTATACCCTTCACTACACATAGTATGGGGGGTGTATTAAGTAAGGGTTTGGGAGGTAAGACCATGGCTTCGGAAAAGTATATATATTCTTTATCAGCGTAAAATTCTGAGACAATTTAGCCCTTTCCGTACGTCCGTCCGTCGTACTTCAAAACAAATAAAGAAAGGAAGCTAAAATATTGTACCGATCTATATTTTGTCTGCAGGTAGGTCAAGTTCGAAGATGGGCTATATCGGTCCACGATATCGTATAACCCCCATATAACGGTACCAACCCCCCTCCCCCCATAAGTTGGTATTTTAATGATTTTAGAAACATTTTCAAAGGAGTTATCGGAAATTCTACACGAGGAGTTCTTTGAGAACTGTTTATATAGGTCTACGATATCGTGTGCCTACCATATTACGGTACCTCCCGATATTGGGTATTTTCCTCGTGACTACTTTACCCCTGAAAAAGAATCGTCTGTACAGGGCGAAAAAACTGCAACAAAGTCAAACGCCATAATTTTTACATTTTTTTTTTTAAATTTTCATTGAATGAAAGCAAAGCCTGTCGGAAGTAGCCTCAAATTTTAGAATAAGTGTAGATTTGTTCGAATTGGTCATCTTTGGCACGAATTATGGCCTTCAAACGGCCAATGAAACCGTCACACGCTGCCCAAATGTTGCTCTGCGGTATTTTGACCCATTCCCAGCAAAGCGCTTGCTTGAGGTGATCGACACTTCGGTATTTTTTACTGCCAACCTTTGCTTTCCAAAATACTCCAGACACTATAGTCCAACGGATTAGTATCTGAAGATTTCGGTGGATATTGTGCACTGGAAATGAAGCGAGGAACCTCATTTTGAAACCATTCTTGGGTAGCGCGTGCTCAGCGCGATGGTGCTGAGTCCTGTTGGAATGTCCAAGGTCTGCGGCCAAAATATTTGCGTGCCCAAGGCTTTAATACACCCTCCAGAATATTTTCGCGATAGTATTCGGCATTTATTCTGATGCCACGGTCGCTTAATACGAGCGTAGAGCGACCATCGGCTGTTATAGCGGCCCACACCATCACCATTGCCGGCGCTTGAGTTCTGGTGGCCAACCCAAGGTGCACATTTTCAACTAAACCTCTTTGGCAAGTAAACACGATCATATTGTTTGTTTACAAACTGCTGGATAACGAATGTTTTTTCATCGGAGAAACCACATTCAGCCCTTCGCCACCTTCGGCAAAGCGAAGCAACTCTTTAGCTCTTTTGAGTCTATTTTCTTTCTGTTACGGTGTAAGTTCTTGCACTTTTTGGAATTTCAATGGCTTTACCGAGCTCATTTCTCAATATTTTCCGGGTGGAATATTGTTCAGCACACGAGCCATTTTTCGGCCACTGCGACACGGTTATTGATCAAGTCGCTTCTTTACTTTTCGTAACATGTCTGCTGATGTTGCTGTTTTTTTCCGTCCACTTCCTTAATGTCAGGCTACCCTACCTGGTTCACGGTAACGAGCGATGGTACGAGACACAAAAGATTTATTCACATTTAAATGCGGGAGTGCTCTAACGATAGCCACTTGTGGTTTTCCAGCCAAATATAAAGAAATCACACTATCACGCTTCAATTCCACGAATAACGTTTTTCTGGCAAATTCTCACCAAAATGTTTTTGTACGCTTTTTCGTACGCTCGTCACGGAATAATTTTAACAGCTGTCGGACGAGTGGCTAGTCCCTCCCTATTTTATGTATTTTGATAATTTTAGCGACATTATTCAACGGAATTGTTTCAAATTTGCTATTTGAAGTTCGTAATGGATACTGAAGCATATGACAGAAAATTGTCTATGCAGGTCCACGTCTTTGTATAACCCCAATATAACGGTACCTCCCGATATTCGGTATTTTGATGATTTTAGCGACATTATTCACCGGAATTGATTCAAAATCGGTATTTGAAGTTCATAATGAATACTACAGCCTATGCCAGAAAATTGTCTGTACAGGTCCACGTTTAGGTATATCCTCCATATAATAGTACCTCTCTATATTTGGTATTTTGATGATTTTAGCTACATTATTCATCGATTTTTTTCAAGTTTCGCATTTAAATTTTGTAGCGGCTTATGACAAAAGTTGCCTATGCAGGTCCGCGTTGTCGTATGGACTCTAATATAACGACTTCATTCGGTATTTATAAGATTTCAACAGAACTTTTAACGGATTTAATTTTTTTTTTTTGTTTTGAAAATTGCCTAATTTGTTCCAAATGGGCGGTATTCAAAGTTACAGCTTCTTTACTTATTTGATTGTGTTTCATAATATGCTAATTTTTTTCTGTTTTTTTTTTGGAAATTATTTTTTAACTCGCAATTACACCCTTACTATAAATAGCGGCCGTAGAACTTGGTGAAAGTAATAAATCTAAACGTTGATGTATAAAAGAACTCATTACAAACAAGGCCAATTTAATTTTCGAAGTTAAGTTGGACAGTTAAAAAGACTGACAAGCGACATCTAACGAGTAAACTGTGTTTCGATTAAAAACTTGACGAAATGGCTCATCTTTATCTACGACGAATGAATAAATTGTTGCCAGATTGTATACACATGGGAGAATGGTATGTGCCAATGATTTAATTCGTATTGAGCGCCATCTATTAAAGGTGATTCAAGTTATTGCTAGCTGATGTACCCTGTAAGGGTGTCTGCATCCGCTAAGCAATTGTACAATGTTGCCATGCCTTCAGTTCGTAATAGATAAATTTTTATGTAGACGAAAACCGTTCCCACACAGTCCAACTTCATCTAGACAGCGTTATCTCAAGAAATCGGAGACTAGCTACAGTCCACAAAACCCAAATAATTGATTGCAACGAATTACACCAAATTATTGTACAACGAACGATAATAAACCAGCAAAGAAAATCTTAAAGTTGGGCGGGGCCGACTTTATGATACCCTACACCAATTTGCTAATTTAGTAGAGCTCCGCATAACAATTAAAACTTCTTATGGGAGAATTCAATCAAACACGCTATGATTATAATTGTAATTTAAAGTTCAAAAGACTAAATATGCCCAAGCATTTGTTTCTTTTAAATTTGGACTTGTATTGCCAATTTGATATATATGGGAGCTATATCCAAATCTGAACCGATCTTGATAAAATTTGGCAAAGATATTTCTGAGCTGTATTTGATATATTTCCCTGAATATCGTTGTTACGGAGTGAATATTACGGCTGTGGGTAACAAATATGACAAATCGGATGAACAGTATATATGGGAGCTATAGCTATATCTGAACCGATCTTCACCAAATTTGACATACTAACTTCTAGACTCAATTCGTAAGTGCCAAATTCCATCCCATTTGGACAAATATAAGACGTTTGGTGCACAATAAAAGGTAAATCGGACGAAGTTATATATGGGAGCTTTATCCAAATCTGAACCGATCTCGATAAAATTTAGCAAATATATTCCTGAGCTGTATTTGATATATTTCCCCAAATATTGTTGTTACAGAGTGCATATTATGGCTGCGGAGGACAACAATAACAAATCTGATGAACAATATATATGGGAGCTATAGCTATATCTGAACCGATTTCGATTAAATTTGGCATACTTATTTGCAGGCCTAATTTGGTAGTATGTGCAAAATTTCATACTATTTGAACTGATATTACACGTTTGGTGCACAATAAAAGGCAAATCGGACGAAGATATATATGGGAGCCATATCTAAATTTTGACCGATTATCTCCAATTTCAATAGGGTTCGTTCTTGGCCAAACAAATAATTTGTGCAAGATTTCATCTGGATTGCCCTATCCAAACTAAATGCGAACTGTACTGCGTAAATCGACTCAGAGTGTGATTCTATGCAGATCATCAAAAGGAACTATGGGTCTATCTCGTTTCCTTTTGCCTGTTACAAACAAATGCACAAAGCCATAATACCCTGACCACCTTGTGGTGTAGGGTATAAAAAGTGCAATTTAGTAAGGATTGCCAGTAATGTAAGCGGCCTAATGGTAAACGGTCACATAATGTAAACAACTAAAAAAGCATAAGGTTCAGCCGGGACGAACCTCCACCTTTTGGAACGAATTTGGAAACTTAAAAAAATAATAATTAAATATACAGATAAAATCTTAAAAATAATGAATATAGCCATTAAATTGTATTGGGCCTATACGAAGAAGTGGACCTGCATAGACAATTTTTGTTATCGCCTGTAGTTTCCATTACGAACTCTAAATACGAAATTTGAAACAATTCCAGTTAATAATGTCGCTACAATCCTCAAAATACCGAATATTAGGAGGTACCATTGTATGTGGGCTATACGATATCGTGGAACTGTATAGACATTACTCTTCCAGGGAGTAAAGTGCTTGAAAGGAACTTCTAGTATGGATTTTAGACAATTCTTTTGAAAACTGTAGCTAATATCATCAAAATACCAAATATAGAGAGGTACAGTTATATCGGGAATATACGATATCGTAGACCGATATAAACAATAATCCTCTTTCTGTACTAAATTTATCCATTCACACTAAAACGAACTTAGTACAATTTAGTACAGTTCGTAACAGAGTGCACATCTGCAAAACCATCTTCTTTTATACTCATAACTGCCCTAACTTTATGTTCTTCCAAATCTCAACATTTTTCTATATTCTTGTACAAAATTTAAAAATGGTACCAAATTTAGTACTTTTTAGTATGTAAGGTAACCGTAAACGTTTCGAATACAAGCTCTATCCGTCTAACCAACACAATGGATTGTAGGTCGTCTATCCTATACAACATCAACAACCCTTTATACAAATTTCAGATTTACAGTTCTAATTTCTACAGTTCAAATTTAGTATCATTTAGCACTTTTCGTAGTTTTTTAGTAC